TTTTTTAATTACATTTTCGATTAAACAATTTATTAAAAAAAAATATTTATTGTTGTTTTTTTTTTAAAACCGCTCAATCGATTTCGATAAAATTTATATGGGACCACCTGGGAAGTATACCCTTTGAAACAAAAAAACTTTTCCAAATCCGTTCAGCCGTCTTCGAGTAGGTGAACATACATAAAAAAAAGATTCCGACGAATTGAGAACCTCCTCCTTTTTGGAAGTCGGTTAAAAATAGAGAACTATACGGTTATAAAATACAACAAATTGTTACGTAATGAAGTAATATTATCAGCTCATTAATAAAAACAATATTTGACTTATTGTCATATATAAATAATGTAGAGAAGTTACAATTTTTTGCACCGCGCAATTTTACAAAGACATATAGATGATAATTACATCAATACCAATGGTTGAATAATGTAAGAAAATTGGCGCACGGGCTGCTCGACATACGTGCCTACGTCAGGGTCAGTCTTACACACACGCCCTTGCCATTAATTGTAGACACGGCTTATATAAAAAAGTAAAGAAATTAAATAATGGTATAAAACTACCAAAAACGATCGAACCGGCCCACAATCAGAACATGGGTAAGTGTTATATATTTCTAAACTTTATTTACATTCACATTTAAATTATTAATTATATTAAAATACTAGCAGAACCCGTGGCTTCGCTCCCGCTAAAACTACAAAAAAATCTCTAAAAAGGTAGTTTCATACAAACTTTCATCTCCTATAGGATGAACTTCGAAAATTGCTAAAACACGTATTTATTTAATTTTATTAAAGAGCATTAATACAAAGTTTCAAATAATTCTGATCATAAATATTTTTTGTATTGTATTATAACGTATTTTCCCGTGGGAATTAGATGATCTCCCGCGGTAAATAGTAGCCTATGTCACTTTCCAGCCCTCTAACTATTACCACACAAAAAATCACGCAAATCCGTCACTCCATTTCGACGTGAAAGAAGGATAAACAAACAAACAAACAAACAAACAAACAAACAAACAAACAAACAAACAAACAAACACACTTTCACATTTATAATATTAGTATAGATTTATATTTGTGTTCGAAGTATTCAATAGAAACTAAGAGATTGCACTACATACCTAAGCTGTTTTATGATAACAAGTAGCTCAAATAGGTACATAAGTGTTGTAGTGTAGTTTGTAAATAATTCTTCGCTGCGCCGTAACGTAAGTCTATAAGGATGGAGCGAAAAAAATTTTTTTTTATAGCTTGGGGGTAGAATTTATAGCTTATAAAAAACAAAATTGTTGAAAAAAAAAATTTCTTAACATTTTGTGGCCTACTGATTTTTAAAATAAATAATAAATTGTAGTTTAAAAAAAAATTCAACTTTCTTCTACTCAACATCGTTGAAAACATTGCAGAATTAACGAATAAAGTCATTTTCTAATAGAATAGACAGTTTCTACAGAGACCAAACAGGGCTCGGCAAATGTAGAGTAGGCTGTAGGACGCCCTCCAGCTAGTATGTAAAGTGGCACTTTCAATGTTAACTATCAATGAAAGTAAACATTTACGGCGGATAAATATTCACCATCCTCTCCTCATGATATAAAATATCGAAAATATTTGTACAGATATTTTTAATATACTTGAATTATTTCTGTTTCGTTGTAGCAACATCAATGTTTCCTTAATACTTGGCTCTTAACAACACGAATATACCTACTGTAGTACTTTCCCGGATAAGTAAGAAGATAGTTAACTGCGAGGGTCAAGGCCAAGTCGATGGTGAAAGCCGCGCGTTTGTGTTGCTGACGCATCACGGATCTTAACGGTGCATAGGTACTTTAATAAATGATATTTTAAAGATAAAAACTATCATATAATTGAATATTTGGTTAACGCCACTAATTCAAATAAAATTTAACACTGTTTCAATTTAGACTTTTGCAAACAAACAGACCAAAATGATTAAAAAGTACTCTTTGAATCCATTCCAGTATAAAAACATGTCGCCGATTTGACACCGCTCTCTTGCACATTTTATTTCTTATAAAAAGCATTATGAAAATTGATTCATAATCGACGAAGGATTAAGTAATATTAGTAATGGTTAGATAAATATTTCATTAGTCGCGTTAAAAATCATAATCTTATGAAGATAAAAAGAAATTTAACCAAAAAAGTAATGGCGCCCCATGCAGCCTGTGCTACGCCATAAAAAATGAAATTTCAAAAAATCTCTTTTCAACCCAGTACCTTATCAAAAAAAAAATAACTTAAACAGTTTTATTGAAAAGAAAGATAATAATGATAAAGATAATGTACTGAAAGCTAAAAAGAAATTATTTTCAAGTTTTTATTTTTTTAATTTTATATTGTCTAAACTCTATGATCCACCATGATTTGTGTTCTACCTATAAATCCTTTCATTTGATACCCATATTGAAAAATATGTAATTGACTACTTTGTTGACGACCATATTGGATTGGGATTTATTTTCATAGTGTAGTATATTCTACTAGTCAAGCCCTATTATTTGATGACCTTATTGAGGGGATTGTGGAAAAATATGTAATCCGTCATTTTGTGGCGGCGGCTACACTTCGAAAATATCTAATGAAAAATTCTAAGTGAAAACCCCCGTTTAGTTATTCTTTACATTTTAGTGCCTGGGGGTTGGTTTTTTTATATTATATTTAATAACATATTCGATTAAGAAATTTATTTATAAAAATATTTTATTGTTGATTTTTTTTAAAAACGGTCTACCGATTTCGATAAAATTTAAATGGGACGACCAATGGGACATTAAACCACCCTTTGAAACGAAAAAAAAAATCCATCCAATCGGTTCAGCCGTCTTCGAGTAATCGATGAACATACATAAAAAAAAGATTACGACGAATTAAGAACCTCGTCCTTTTTACAAGTCGGTCAAAAATAGTTGATTACTTTTTTCATATATTTAAGTCCATCACATTCATTAGCGTGGGTATATCTATTGTTCGGCGTAAACATGAGTGAGCACATTCATCAGTTTTTTTAATTTTTATGCAATTGAAATTGCAATTTATATTGATTCATGGTTAAGCTATACGTCTATTCTAATAGGTATGGGTTAAAAGAATTACCAACGATTCAGTCATTTCATAACAAGTGCATGTAACTTACGTATTCTTTTAGTAATTCCGTTCAGAAACTAATCGTTTCGTAACAAATGATGCAGTAGCCGACGGCCTTTGCATCATTCTCGGCGATTCGGAGCAACACTGTTTTATTATAGTCGCTTCATGCGATCTCTTTCCTTACACTCTGCACCTTTGGATTATTATTTTTTTTCGTTTCTGTGCCTTGATGGAATCTTTGAGGAGATCCTTACTTATTATCTTTAATATTTAAATGGAAAACGTTCTTTGGATTGTCCTCTTTTGGCAAACAAGGCAAAAACTAGATTTTTTTATATGTTAAATTGTTTTGGGTAAAAAGCTACTTAGCCTGTAATTCGTACCTGCAATTATTTAGTCTATTACAACGTCCCACTGCAGGGCACAGGCCTCCCTTCAATGCGAGGGGGGTCACATGTATTTCGATACGACTAGTTACGTTCTCTTAGATAAGCATCTTGCAGGTTTCCTCACAATGTTTCCATTCACCGTAAGGCATCTGGTAATCATGCTAAAAATGATTCGCACATGAAACAACCATAGGTTAGCCCCGGGGCTTGAACCCGCTTCACTTGGTTTTCCAAACGTGCACATTACCACCCAGCTACCACTACCACTCTTACCTATGTATACATATATAGATTATATTTTCCTTTAACCTTTATAAATGATCATATCGTTTCCGAAACTGGTCTGACCAGATAAAAACAAAAACAGTATTTTTCTATGATATAATTGGTCTTTCGAAGTTTCATATCCCATAATGTTATGGCAGTTTTGCCTTTAATTATATACATGACTTTAGTTTGGATTATATGGAAATTGCAATTACATATTGTTACGCAATTATTATTTGCGAATTCCTCAAAAGGGTAACGGGTACTATGGCACCGACCGCGCTCGGGGTGAGGTCAAGGCCGTGGAAAGAACGCGAAGGTTCTTCGAAAGGTGAAAGCGGCCGCGTCCGCGTGCCTGCGCCCGCGCCGACCGCTCGCCGCCGCCCGCACAGCTCAATCGTACTTAACCTAGTTCTAACTTCTAACATGCAAAGGAAATCAATTAAATGTTAGCATTGACTTCAGTTTTTGTTTGATTTCCCCAAAATTATATCATAAAATGAAAATATAATGTAGGTATTTAATTAAATTACTAGTACATAGTTATTTTTTTTATTAAATATAGTCACTATTAAATAAAAATTAAATTAAATGAATATTTGAAATCAATTTTGTAAAATTGTGAGTAGACACTGTCTGTAACAAGTATATAATACCTTTGAGACGTCTAAAACCTTAGTCTCCCCCGTGACCACGTGCGCTGTAAAGCATTCGAAACGTCGGGAACCAAAAATCAAAATAAATTCGCAAAATAATCCGAAAAGATAGATTTATTTAAAATTTCAAATATTCGCCTAAATGTAAGAAAGTATTAAGTGACTATATTCAATTTATGTGACTATAATCTTCTTATATTTATGGTATATTTTTTAATTAATATTTCAGTTCAGAGGCGTTTATCGTTGTCTTGTTAATTTTATTATAAATTTCCTGTGTTATAGATACATTAATTGTTATTGGAAAATTTTTGATGGTTATTTTTATAACTATGTGTTTGTAAAAAATTAAAATATTTTCGCCGTAACATATGTTTTCTTGTATATAACAATAACATAATTTATTAATTTATAATATTTTACTATATTTAGTATTCGTTAAGTAATATCTAATTGACTTGATTGTATCAGTCAAGTTAAATTATCTATGTTATATAATTTAACGTAAATACTCTACAAAAATAAGCATTTAGCTGTTAGAACACCTCCAAATATATTAACTTTCAACCAATAAATATACGGAGCTGATGAAAGCTATTGCACAACTGATTTTCGTTATCATTATGATTTTTACCGTATGAAGCTAATAAGGTAAATGCTCGTCGTCGAGGTGCAAATCGAAAAGGCTGGCGCGTCACGGCGCGGCGGCGGGATACCCCGCGATGCGTCACTCCACTGCCACTCTCTCCGACGGCCGCGAGCAAGCCGATGACGTGCTCTTGTGTAATATTGACCAACCTACCCGAGAGACCTTGCAAATTACTTATAAATTCAAATAGAGCAAATATCAAGTAATCTATTGCTTAACGGCGTTTTTTGTGAATGACGTAAGTCGTGTTCCTCTTATATTTACTATATGGCCTAACATAAAGTTATTTACGTTTTATCTATAAGAAATATAAAATAGTGAGGTATAGAAATGGCTTCTTTGTATTTTTCAGTAAGAAATTTGGTTTGTTTCAAATAAAAAAAAACGTCTACTCCTTAAGGTGGACTCTACTAGTATATGAATACTTTTTAGTTAATTATCTAAGAAAATTAAATTTAAAGTCCAATTTTTTTTCAGTTAACATTATTTTATTGAACAAGAGAAGGAAGTGTGGAGCTTTGACTCAAAAACAAATCAGAAACTCCTCAATTCATGGTTACATACAGCCGTTGACACTACACCTGACTACGTGTTGAATGCCATTCTACCAGTCTGTGACAGGGGAAAATACTTTATGTAAAGAGAATTTTTTATTCACGATTCTCAGATGTATGACTAAAATACGATCTTGCACGACAAAACCAACATGTGACAAAATACGAGTATAAACCAGTGACTTGCAAGTTTGAGCACAACGTCACCGTCTTATGAATGTGAATGTCGGTCTTGTTTAAAATGATCAATGAGGTATGAATCAGGCTTACGTTAAACTAGTTTTGGGAACACGCTTCTGAGAGATATAATGAGATGGCTAAATATGCTATTGCCATTAGGGTTTATTCTCGGAAATATTCAACCGTTATCCCTCATCTATCAGTATGGATTATACGACAGCTTACACAATTATAAAATGTTATAAATAAAGTTGTATTTAATTATATAAACATATTATATGTAATTAGTTGAATGGTCGTAGCGGCGGTGATTTCCCGGCGCGTGCCAGCGCCTGCGCGCTTCTATAGGTACATATCACATATAATTATAAATATTGTTGTATTATGTACTCGGTGATTTAGTAAAAATGAGAAATGTTTTGACATGACAACGGGGTTTTATTATGATAAATTAAAGTAGACATTACTTCACCATTTTAATTATAAATATATAAGGCAGTGGTAGCCTAGTGATAACGTATGGTAAACCAAGTGAAGCGGGTTCAAATCCCGAATCTCGCACCTATAATCATAAAGTGCAAATAATTTTCAACAGGACGTGGGACTTTCTTGATGGTGAAGGAAAACACCGTGAACAACAAAAACCTCAAAATGTATGTCTGAGAGAATTCAGTAAACCCTCAAAATATATATTATGAAGACCGCCAACTCGTACATAGTCACTGTGATGAGCCATGGCCTGTCCCCCGTGATATTGAAAAAAATCCCGTGTCCAGCACTGGAAGGTTATTGTATATTATGTATATTATATTGATATTCAGAGCGTGCAAGAACAGTATTTAACAGTAACTAATACAACTATGACACTTTTGGTTATCAAAAACTCAGTTTTTTTAATTCTAAGTTATTACATTCGAACACTTAGATTTCTTCTCTTCATTCTGTTATAATTAATCATTAAGCAAAGAAATACCCACTGAGTCTCAAAAGATCCAAATGCTTAATTTTTTATGGCGTTTTTAGTTTTCCTTTTATGACGCCCGGTAAATGTTCGAAGTATCCTGCTTCCTATATCAATGATTATTTACCAACTTTTTAATGTCGTAGTTTCAAATATGATATGTAGTTAGACTATATAATTTACATTCATTTTAGTCCTTTGTAGATATTTTTTTATAAAAATGAAATTAAACCAGTAGGTACGATACGGCCACGACGCGCGGGGCATCGCCCCGGAGGTGAAGGTCACGCGCAGTCGATGCGAGGCTCAGGCAATAAACATACCATAATATCTATGTGCCATAAGTTGTGTAACTATTAATTACTATGTAGGTATATAATGTAAACGTCTATATTTAGACGTCCCTGCGATATACCACCATGGGACTTAACTATGATAATATATTTTCATCTCACAACTTTACTTATTATTGTAGACATTGCATATTGAACTATGATTTTAATTCCGGAGTTTCTTAACAAAGAAAAAGTGCGACAATTCGTTGCTTCCGGTGTAAAATTAGTGCCCGTCAAATACATACATCCACTATCATTATCACCACAATATAAAAAAATAATGTAACAATAGTATATACAACATATAGTAATGTACTATTTGAGTTAACTTGCATTTAAATTATTTCTAAAATTAAAAAAATATTATCTAAGCTATTTGTGCGGGGTGGTACCGGCGGGCGTCAGAAATTTTCTGACAGAAAAAAATTCTTATTATATACAACTATAAATACTTATAACTGAACTACAAATAAAAAAAATATATTTTACCAAGACAAAACTTGTTTACATCAGACATGCGTATACATAGGCATAAAATCTTCTCATTTTATTACGCTCCGTGATGTCATCGTGTCGGGGAAACTTATTTTCTTAGCGACATTCGTCTAAAATCATGGTACCTTCCTTATGTTGTTATGTTCTTTAATTTACATTATGAAATGTTAAATGACCGATAATAATTTGTCTTTACTTATGAATATAACAAGTTCGATAATGATTTGTCTTTACTTATTGATAAACGGAACCTGAGCTAAGCCAGAGTGCTTCACTAGTTATTTATAAGCTCTCGGGAAGCTCTAAGCGTCGTACATTACCTCACCCTTCTCTCTCTCTCCCTTCTCCGTATCCCACGCTACGTTTGGTCGGCACAGCATATTTTCTTTTTCCACTTATATACAATTACATACAATAAATAAAGGGTTTATTTATTTATACAGATGGTTATGTGGAAACTTACTGGCTATAAAAAACCAGTTTTACCGACTAAAACACAAAGGGACATCCCGCGTTTTATTTGGGCCTCGCAAGATCGGCTACGCAACCACGACGCCCCGACGGCTGGTCTACCGAGGAAGATCACAACAAGCAATAGCTGAACTATTACCAAACTAAATTAAATAGAACCACTTTCCTTTATCAACCATCATATTAGCTTTCATATTCATATACTCTATCACACAGTCCACTCATACCTTCCTCAGTCTACCTCTACTTCTATATCCATCAATATCGTCCTTTTTTTTATTTTAACGTTGGGAAATGCATTTACGCACGAGGTGTGGGACTCACCGGCAAAGCCAGTACTATCCACTAAAACCCAACAAAACCTTCCCCCGTCTTAATGGGGTGTCGCAGGATCGCTTACGCATTCAACTACGACGCCCCGACGGCAGGTCTGCCGAAGCAGACCACCACAACCATGGGATTGCTCCAAGGTCCACTCTGCTATCAGAGAAGTACCAGGAGCAACCCGCATAGTACACCGCCCACCGAAGAGGGCCACCTCTCACCACCCACCGAAGTGGACCACCTCTCTGTGCGTTTCTTGGCTTCGCGCCGGTTGGGTTGCCGGGCACTACTGAGCCCCTCCCACCACGACAAGGTGAACGCACGTTGGGGGGGACCAATATCGTCCTGCAATATCTATTGTTTCTAAATTATACAGACTAATGAACTAATATACAATGTAAATATGCAAATTATATAAAGTGCAACGCATCGACTACGTAATACTCTGCAAGAGAGCGTTATACTAACATATTATGTAGGTATGTTGAACACGTAGATCGGCGTGCGCTACCTGCGACGCGTCGCGCTGGCTCGTGCTGGCCACGCGCCTGGGTTTTTTGGACAGGAAGTTAAATAATATAATGATTAAGATATTGTTTCATAATCTTAGTCACAGTGACGTGGAAGACTTAGAAAAACTACGTTTTGAATCATACACGTTGACTCGCGAACAAATCAGAGCCAACTCTTAAAATTATCTAATTTCCCGCTATGTGTCGGAAAATCCATTCTAAACTATGGCAAAAATTACAACATAAATCTCACAACAGTAACTTTGCTGTGCATGTGGGAGACATTCCTCATACATTTCGTTCTCTCGCACTGGGAACGTAGCTGTATATAAATAATAAAGATACATAATTGCGTCATGTTTTCATATCATTGTGTAATAATTTCACGATCTTTCATAAATGTTAAACAGATTGTGAGATAAAATGTGATAGATAATTAGGCAGAGTGTTAGCGCCAAGAATCTTACTTACCGAAACGAAACGCATCTAAATATCTAATAATGTTGATTGGCCGTGATCAGAAGTCTTTACATTTTGGTTGAATTACTATAATACTACTAGTAATAGGTAATAGCTAAATACTAAAATTATATTTAACATACGAATTAAAAAAGTAGCAAATTAAATGAAAAAGATCTACCTCAACAGAAACTGGCTTAAAAGTTGTTACCGCGGCACGAGCGCATGCGCACACTGCACGTTATCTCCTCGTAGGTCGAAAATATTTCGAAACTGTGGGTGTGCTCAGACCCTTTTCACTTCCCAATGCAGCACGCGCCCTATTCAGTAGAAAAAAATGTGGCAAAAAAATATAACTGTTAATAATTTTAATTAAAAAAAAAAGAAATAACGCTGCCCAGTGCGGGTTGGTGAACTTCACATGTCTTTCGAAAAATATCTACTTGATTTACTAATTATGTTGAAAATGATTCGCACTCGATCAGAGGGAGGCGTATGAGCCCGCTGGTATTTCAATACATGAGGATTCACCAATCGCTAAAGTGCCAAGATGTTTAAGGCCGCGAATGAATAAATAAATTAGTATACATTATACACAATATTTGAAGAAGGAAGATGACTTACCAACAGGATGGAGAAGGTTAGCTCGGAACAGAGATGAATGGAAGAAAATGGGGGAGGCCTATGTCGAAGGACAACCTGACCAACAAACTGGTTGCTGAATAAATTATTTTAAAATTAGATTTTAAACATTCTTATGTTTTTAAGTACCACATATGTAAATTATAATTAATGTACGAATGGTCAGCGAATAAAGGCTTTTATGATTATTATATTATTATATACAATATTAGCTAATTATAGTTGCAACAATCGTTTAAATTTTTTTATTAATTTATAACCATACTTTTGTTAACAACATATGTGTTAATAAAGATTTATTTTTATCTATATCATATAAAATCACATAAAATACAGTTGGTATTATAAATATGTTAGTATGATAAATTAATATTTTCTCATTCCAGTTACTCTTCAAGCTACTCAGTCGAGTTGAAGTCGTTCTTCAAGGAACTCAGATTCTATACACATAAAGCTCCTAAAACTGAAAATCCTAATGCCAGGCTCCCGTGGTTTTGAGAAAGTACAAAACATATGTACATTATGTCTATCTAGTGATAGGAGTTTGTAGTAGAAACCATACAAGCTATAGGGAGACTCGCAATGGCCATACATAGTGAAACTGAGACCTGTTTGAATGAATTGCTTCATCTGCTTGCAAGCAAAGATGGTTGATGAGATTATAATTTGAATCACTATCAGAGATAATTTATAATATAAATAAGTAATCATTAGAAAATATTTGCAAGAAAATTTTATTGTAGCTGCATTTGTTTGCTCTTGATTTGTTTATTTATATATTACAGAGTAGCGTTCAGGATTTAATTATACCCGATATTCCCGATATATTATCAAAAAAAAAATAACACCATGTGCAAGATACGATGTATGTAGCCACGCCGTTAAATTTACTTAATATACTTATGTAATAAAATTACATACAAGTATATAAGTATAATAACTATTATATGAAATTATGTTATAACGATTTATATAAAGTAATAATTTTTGATCGATCTGTTTTGTTTACATACTGATGCTATATATTTATAGTTCGTATGGAACAGGTAATGTTAGAACAAAATGATGGGTTTTCATATCAAATACCTATATAAAAACATATTATAGCGACCGGTAATTAAGCGCAACCGGTCGCGTCTAAAAACCCGCCGCAAGACCTCACGACACACCCAGACATCTCGTTATACTAAATAGCTCGGAAATAAACACATGTCCTTCAGATAACTTGCTTATACAGTCATTATAAAATGATCTATTTTGTATAGAAAATCAGAATTCATATATATGTATACAGTATACATAAAATGAGGTAACAAAGTAAAATCTGTACATGAAATATTTTTTAAAAGTAATGACGATTACGTACCTACTGTGTACAGAATATAGGCCACAACACCATAGATGTTGAAATTTTTGTCTGCTTGTTTGTTTATCTGTTAACTTTTCACGCAAAAAGTACTGAATGACCTTTAACTGATTTTTTTGTAGGAGTAACTTATTAATCGGGTTTACATTTAACATACCCTTTACTACAGCAAAATCTCTCACTCTTACGGGAAAACACAATCACTGGTCCTAGCGAGTTGTCCTTCATTAAAAAATTTCAATGATTCATTACAAAAACTATTAGAAGCTGGGTTAATAATTTAACATGCGGTAAATTCTCAAATTTTCATGGGAAAATGCAAAATTTAGTTGGGGCGTATAAAACAATATCACTGTCTGTCTCTGTCTGTTTTTCCGCTTATTTCGTCTTGTGTTTTAGAACTACACAATGGATTTTTATACGGTTTTCACTAAAAAAAGAGTGATAAACCCGGAAGATTTGTGGGTTATATCATTTGTAACTATTTTGAACGGTGGCAAAACCATAATATCGATATATCGAAACATGTACTTACTAGAAAAGTAATCTGTGCCTACGAGTAGATCTTAAAATGACCTACAGAAAAATCCACGTTAGCATTTGTGCCAATATATCCCAAGTTACACTCACAATTTAACTATTTATATCTTATTAAAATGTAAGTACCTACATATCTAGAATTTAGTCGCGAGTGGATTATGCCTCTTACCTTTCCAATAATGCTTACGCATAAATATATCCGTATTATTTTAATATTATAAATGTGAAAGTTTGTATGTATGGATGTTTGTTACTCTTTCACGCCATAACGGCTGAACGGATTTGGATGAAGTTTGGCACAGAGATCGATTATAGTCTGGAATAACACAGGGACTTTTATCCCGGAAAAAATGTACGATTCTCGCAGGATAAGTTTGTTTTTGTTTTCCTAGAGGTGAGAGGTGTAAGAGTAGTTTTGGTTATCTGAACGCGGGTGGAGCCGCGGGCAATGCTAGTATTATAATAATTTTCAAAGGTTTGAATTTGGAAATCAATCTATTCATATATTATTTATACTAGCATCCCTGGGTGTCTTTTATCGTACACACACAAAAATTTCGTATTTATAATGATTATTGATTATAGTAATTACGTACCTACTGTAGGATGACACTAATAAAACTTCGAGATATGCCTTGCATATTATATTCTTATATTCAGTACTTTTGCAACATCAACTAATTCTTTTATAATCGTCTTTACGTCCATCCGTGTAGAAGCTACCACTAGCTTGGAAAGCATTTCCGCTGAGAAGAGCCACTGAGATGAGTTACATAATTTATAATAATAATTTACTCGTACCATATTGCAAACAATTCGTGACTAGCCACTACAAGGTGGTACCGACATCTCTGTGCCCAAGCGCGGGAAATCAAATGAAACGGCGTCCTTTTTATTTTTTTAAACATTCCTATCGGCTAAGGTCACATAACTAAATGCTTTATATATAAATCATTACAAATTAATCAAATATATTAGTTCCCATTAAAACGCTCATATATAAAAATGGGAATTTACACTACTTATAATAATACTCGGACATTCATTTACAGGAATTAAATTAAAT